ATTTATTATTATATTGATTATTATATTTTTTTTATTATTATTTATATTTATTATTATATTTATTATATATATTGTATTTATTATTTATATATATTTAATAAATAATAATATATTAATAACAATAAATAAAATTATAAAACTAATAAAATTAAATATTAAATTAACAATAATAATAAATGTCAAAAAAATAATCCAAATTCTAACCCTCTACAAAAAAAGAATACAAAAAAAAAACAATTTTTTATTTATAAAATTTAAAAACAAAAGTCCCCAATAAAAATTTGAAAACAAATTTCAACATTGAAATCTCTAAAAACCGGAAGAAATCGAATGACATGTTACTGACGTCATCACACACAAATACAGACAGACAGACAGACGGACAGACAGACAGATAGACGGATAAATACGTGAGAAGTAAATAAAGTATCGACCCACTGACCGATTTCATTCGAAAAACCCTTCAGGGCTTAAATTCAACAGGTTGTTGTACGACTTTGTAATTCGCGATTGGTATACACGCGCATGCGCAATTCTATTCGACGATATTGATAGTGATTGGTTGAGAATTAAATCGGCAATGAGGTTCGTGTGTATTCGCGTATCTTCGAGACTCGTCGTATTCGACTCACGCGGGTTCTGTGGATTCGTCAGAATGTACGCGGTATTTGCGGACTGTACCGCAACCGCTCCGCAAGGTATACGCAATTAAAATAAGCGGCAATTTATTTATTTCAAATAATTTTCAACGTTATTCGTTGTGTGTGTGTGTGCCATTTTTATTTATTATAATAATTTTTTTTAGTTTAATAATAATATTATAAAAATTAATAACATTTTTTTCAACAATTGTGTTGGTTTACGTGTAAACATTGTTTGAATTATTTTATTTGTTTTTTTTTTTTCAACCAATCAACGATCAAAGCAACAGGTGAGTCTGGAAAATTGATCTTTGGTTGTTTTTTTTTTTTAGTTTATTGTATTCGTTACGAAATTTTGGAAAAATTAAAGGAAAAAACATGGAGGATTAGTTGGTTTTGAGTGATGTAAAATTTTGCAAGTAATATTTGAGAAAATTTATCTATCATTTACCTGGGCTTAACTTTTCCTGCCAAACGATAGGATATTGTCGGTTGGTTACATAATCTGAAACTGTGTAGTACGGAGAAACGATGGGAATCTTCTCATTGAATTCAATGCAAAATACTGACACGTTCGTTTTCTAAGTGACGACACGTTTTATTTCAAATTATCACGTATCACGATCAATTTTATTCCAGAATTAAATTACTACTGTCATTTATAGTTCGTGGTAAATGTGTGTGTGTGTGTGTATTAGAAATAATATAAATTAATAATAATATAATAAATTATATTTTTAATTTTATTTATATTATTTCAATTATATAAATAATTATATAATAAATTATATTTAATCTTATTTATATTATTTCAGCTATAAAAATTATAATATTATTAATTATATATTTAATTTTATTTATATTATTTAAATTACACAAATAATAATATTATAAATAATCCAATAATTTTTACAATTTAAAAAATAATTTAACACAAATTAATTATTTTCTAAAAAAAAATATATATATATATATAAATTTACAAATAAAATTACAAATGTGACATATTAACAAAAAACAAAATAACCACACAAAAAATATAATAAATAAATTGCGTCAATTTTATTTTAATAAAAAAAATTAAATTAATCTTTGTTTAACACATTAATTATTCTCTAAAATAATTATATATAATTATTAAAAATATTATATATAAATAAATTTAAAAATAAAATTAGAAATCTGTGTCAATTTTGTTTTAATAAAAAATTAAATTTATTCATTTGTTAATTTGTAATTTATTATTTTATATTAAATTGTTATTTTTATGTGAATGATTAAATGAATTTGTGAGAAGAAAATTAAAAAAAAAAGAAAAAAATGTTTATGAGTAAGTTAGATCAATTGAATTATTTCAAGTATTTAATATTAATTGCAAATGTGGCAACGTCCTTGATGGGGTCACGTGTTCTGTGTCGCACCCATATCACCCACGACAACAGTCATCCCATCCGAATGTCCCACCTGCGTGCTCCGCTTACAAATAAATCTCGTTGGTCATCTTTATCCGCGCATTCAAATCACTGGACCTTTCCTATGCCATCACGGTGATTTCAATTCCATCATAAAACAATCAACGATCAATAATTGTCTTCGAAATAATTACCAAACAAAAATACAAAGAAGACAAAGAAGATAAAGAAAATAATTATTAAATTAATAAATAATAAACAATTAAATAATAATCATAATAATAATAATATATTATTTATTGGAGTTGTCACCATTTTTTTTTCTTTAATTATTTTCATTAAAATTAAAATTAAAATTGGAATTAAAATTGATATAAACTCGAACAATATTATTAACAATAAATGGAATTATAATTATTGAATTATTTTATTAATAATTAATTTGATTAATTGTTATATATATATATATATATATATATATATATATATCATATTAAAATTAATTTTAGTTTTATTTTTAATTTGTAATTAAAAATTTTAATTTTTAATATAAAAGATTCATTTAAAATTAAAATTTTAGTATAAAAAATTAAATCTATTGCAATATTTTTATAAATAACAATTTCATATACATATTTTAATTATTTCTATTTTTATTATTTTATAACAACAAATATGAATTATAATTATGAATTATTTTATTAATATTTAATTCAATCATTTGTTATATCGTCTATTGCAATATTTAGTTAAATAACAATTTTATGTATATTTCAATTAATTTCTTTTCTTTTGTTTTTACTTTATAACAATGATTTGAATTGTAATTATGAATTATTTTATTAATAATTTATTCAATTTATTGTTATATAATTTATTGCAATATTGGGATCTCTTGCAGGGGCGTGGCGTAGTAATTCGACCTATCTATTCTCATTTTGAATTTAGCCACCAGATAGCGTATTCAAGTGCTAGAGATCCCACGTGACGTAGCAATTCGACCTATCTAT